CAACCTCTTTGACCTCAGCCGCATCAACTTCTTCCTAGAAACATGGCCAAAAGCAAGGGAAGCAAGGGCAAAAATGAACTATTAGGACTTCATCAAGATCAAAAGCTTTTATACAACAAAGGAAACAATCAACAGAACCAAAAGACAACTGACAGAATGGGAGAATATTCGCAAATGACATATCAGATAAAGGGCTAGAATCCAAAATCTATAAAGAACTTACCAAACTCAACACCCAAAGAACAAATAATCCAGTCAAGAAAGACATGAAAAGACATTTCTGCAAAGAAGACATCCAAAAGGCCAACAGACACATGAAAAAGTGTTCAACATCACTTGGCATCAGGGAAATACAAATCAAAACAACAATGAGATACCACTTCACACCAGTCAGAAATGCTAAAATTAACAAGTCTGGAAATGACAGATGTTGGTGAGGATGCAGAGAAAGGGGAACCCTCTTACACTGTTGGTGGGAATGCAAGCTGTTGTAGCCATTCTGGAAAATAGTATGGAGTTTCCTCAAAAAGTTGAAAATAAAGCTACCCTATGACCCAGCAATTGCACTACTGGGTATTTACCCCCAAAGATACAAATGTAGTGATCCAAAGGGGACACACACACCCCAATGTGTATAGCAGCAATGTTCACAATAGCCAAACTATGGAAAGAGCCTAGATGTCCATCAACAGATGAATGGATAAAGAAGATGTGGTATATATATAAATATATACAATGAAATATTATGCAGCCATAAAAAACCCTGAAATCTTGCCATTTGCAACTACATGGATGGAACTAGAGGGTATTATGCTAAGCGAAATAAGTCAGAAAATGATCTCACTGATCTCACTGATATGAGGAATTTGAGAAACAAGACAGAGGATCATAGGGGGAGGGAGCGGAAAAGTGAAACAAGACAAAACCAGAGAGGGAGACAAACCATAAGAGACTCCTAATCTCAGAAAACAAACTGATGGTTGCTGGAGTGGAGCGGGCAGGGAGGGATGGAGTGGCCAGGTGATGGACATTGGAGATGGTATGTGCCATTATGAGCACTGTGAATTGTGTAAGACTGATGAATCACAGACTTGTACCCCTGAAACAAATAATATGTTATATGTTAATAAAAAAATCAGAAAAAAGAAGAATCCTGCAGTGAATAACTTCGTATATGTCATTTATTCCTTGACTAGGGAATCAAAGGATTATTGGGATTTGGGGCATGAAAGGGAGTGAGTTGGAAAGATGGGAAGTGAGATGTCAGAAAATAGAATGATAGAATTAAGATCATAAAGTTATTGATAATGACAAGGTCTGGAGCATGACTATGAGTGACTGAGATATGGTAAGAACAATGTTATTTGGATGGAGGAGTTAAAAAAAACTGAGAGACTATGGTGTTGGAAGGATCGCCTACAATATTTATCAAAATCACCAAAAATTAAGACTAAAGAGAGAGATTACCAGATTGTAGTTAATATCACTGAGGAACAAGAGCAAATGACCTAAGTGTCAATGAATGACAGCAAAAATGAACATTATTAGGTGAACTAATCTGCTAACAAGGGCTTTAAAGCTAGGGAATTTTAGTGAGTGGAGTGTGAAAAGACTGAAAGTGACGATGAGAACAAAGAGGTAGCCTGCCCCACCTGAGGCCCAGGTGTATGACCTTGGTAGAGAAACAGTCACTACCCATGATGGTTGCAGGGGAAGCAGTATCCTCAGGGAAGAGCCAGGTTTCTAGAGCAACGAGGTGAGTGAAATGCAGAGAGAAGAGGTTAAGGATACAAGGAGTTTGGCTAGTGATAGCCGAATTCCAGAGGGCACAGTGAAAGGGTTCCATTTAACTACACAGTGTTCACAAGCAGAACCTCTGCTGTAGTTTGGCCAGTAATCTCTTTTTTTGCCTGAAGTTCATCTTCTAGTAGTTTTCTTAAGAAAGGCTAGTGGGAACAAGTTTATTTGGCTTTTGCATATTGAAAACTCTTTGTCTTTAGTCTTTATACTTGAAAGACAGTTTGGCTAGACTTCAAGTCTCTGTGTCCACCTTCTCTATTTGAGTATCTATCTATGTTGTTACACTGTTTTCTTATAATGAACAGTACTGTATAGAAATATAAGACCAGCCTGATAGTTTCCCTTTATAAGCGACTTGATTATTTGCAACCTTCCTCAAAGGATTATTTTTTTCTATTTTTTTTTGTCTTTGTAGTCAGCGAGCTATTCTAGGTAAGATGTCCTTGGATTATAACACAGTTTTTCAGTAGAAGAGTTGTCTTTTAATTGAGCAAAGTTTTCTTCAGTTGTATCTTTAAATATTTATTTTCTTCCATTATGTTGAGTCTTTTTCTTGGGGGGGGGCACAAATCCCCTTTGCGTGTTTTCTCTATTATTTTGTTTCTAATCTTTTTGAGTGTTATTTTATTTTGCTTGTTGTTCTCATTTTTCTATATTGTTATCTTAAGTATCTTTTTTACATTCCTTCTAATTTTGATTTATTTCTTTGAAGGTTTGTTTCTTTCTACTGCCTTTCTTCTTCTTCTTCTTCTTTTTTTAAAAGACTTTATTTATTTGACAGACAGATCGCAAGTAGGCAGAGAGGCAGACAGAGAGAGAGGGGGAAGCAGGCTCCCCACTGAGCAGAGAGCTCGATGTGGGGCTCGATCCTAGGACCCTGAGATCATGACCTGAGCCGAAGGCAGAGGCTTTAACCCACTGAGCCACCGAGGTGCCCCTACTGCCTTTCTTCTGAATTATTCTCTCTTTCAGTATAATCTTCCTTGAAGTCCTGCATTTCTGCTTTATGATTTTGTTTTCTTTTCATAGAGGTGATTGATTCATTTATTTGTCTTTTATTTAATAGATTTATTTATTTATTTATTTATTTAAGAGAGCAAGAAAGAGAGTGCATGAGTTGGGGGAGAAGCAGAGAGGGAGACAATCTCAAATAGACTTCCTGGTGAGTGAGAACCCAACACAGGGCTTGATCCCATGACCCTGAGATCATGACCTGAGCCAAAATCAAGAGTTGGTCACTTCAACAACCGAGCCACATAGGCACCCCAGGGAAAGATGGTTTTCAAAAAAATTTATCTCATAGTGACATTTTACTGGTAAAGTGTGCTTCCCATGTTAAGTTTTGCTCCTTTTCCCCCAGATTTTTGTGTATAGTTTCTTTATGTTGGTGCTATGTTACTTCCTTTCTTATTTCATATCAGTGAATAAAATGTGTTTTCCTGGACTAGCAATCTGTAAGAGTTTCCAGTATAGGTGGGAGTAAGTGTGGGAAGGAGCCCATTTTCACTAAGTATGGGCTCTCTTTTCTGCTGCATGAACAGATTACTTCCTGCAAATATGGCTTATCTGTGTGATTTTTTAAAAAATTTATTTTAGGAGGAAAGGGGCCAAGGGAGAAAGAGGATCCTCAAGCAGACTCCTAAGTGTAGAAGCTGATACAGGGCTGCATCCCAGCATGGCTTGCCCCAGGTTCCATACCCCCTTTTTCAAAACAAAGGATAATTTTTCTTCAACTCAGGATATGTTCCCTATCCTTACGTGTTAACGCTTTTGTTAGCAGTGTCTAGCTGGGTCTTCCTGCTGTTAAGATGCATCCCTATGTTTTTTTCCTGTTTACTTTCTCTCACATAATTTCTACTCAACTTCAGCTGGTTTTGGCAACTCCTATACATGTTTTAGAATCTGGGCAGGATACTAGTGTCCTAGTTTGCAAAAGAAAAAAAATGGTTGGTGGATTTGGGGGGAGGGAGATGTAGGTTGTGTTTATAATCTTTGTGGCTCTTAAATGATTTCCAAAGATAGAAAGAGAAAATACTAATATAGCTAGTCATGCTCATACCAGAAGTTCTAATTCCTTAGAACCATGATGTTCACCTTGTATGGATAATCAGAAACTCATGTGTGTGTCCTGAATTCTCTCCTAATGATATTCAAAATTAGGGAGTTTTAGGATAGCATTAAGAGTCCTTCAAAATTACTTAGTCAACTGTTAATAAAATGTGCAATAGCATACCAAAACTAGGAATGACTCATGTCTCTTGGCCAGGCCTTGCTAAAGCCTCAGAATTATAATATGCTGGAAATTTCAAGACCCCAAGAGGCAGACTAATTAAGGGTTTATATTCTTATTATTCATTTACCCTGTATTCGGTATTCAGATATTTCCCATACTACCTCCAGTTTGCCTCAAGGTCAGATTCTACAATTATTTGAATTGTTTGGGTACTGAGTTGGCATTGCTGGCACTGAATTGGGGACAGAAGTCTATTCCTTGCCGCCTAAAGTGTCTGCTTGTCTGGCAAGATTTATTTCACATGGGGATGATGTCAGAGTGTTTCTGGTCCTGAAAAATATTTACCTAAACAGAAACTCACCGATTAACTTTTATTATGACAATGACAATACAGATAGGTATGAGACTGAACAATTCTTGAGATGTCTGGACTGTATTCAAGCAATGTACAGTAATTTCTATTCCAAATTTTTTGTTACTGAGAGTGCCATCCGCCTGGATTGCAGTAGTTTCAGGAAAGAGAGCCATGTAGACAGAAATTCAGGACAATTTTGTGATTCATAGGCCACTTTTCAAATTCTAATTGAATTTTTCGTTTTTTGATAGTATAGCTTCTTTTCAGGTCTCTGAAATTAAATTCTCCTCTTCACCACGTTGCACAGATAGAAGAGTTACTTGGTAATTCAAACACATCTTGAGGTTTGCATGCCAAAAGCAGCTGCAGAAATGTAAAATATGGTTCATATTCATCAGAACATGTGTCTCTGGAAATCTAGACTTTATGCTGACCGAAATAGTACAACACCACCTCAATATCTGTAATGCCCAGTGGCCACGAGCTCAATTCACATGCCTGGTTTGAGCCCGAGCTCTTCATTTTCTGACACAAAAGCCCTTCCTTTCCGCTCTGGTTTCAAGCTCAGTGTCCTCAGGTGTTTCATCAGATAAGACAGAAAGCACAATCTCTTAAGGCTGGCATGTTGAGTGAGTTGGGCCTCTGAGGCTCTTTCAATTCCCCAAAGTCCTTGACCTCAAAACATCTCTTTAACTAGTTCCTATAATGTAACCTGACTGCATTAAAACAAACCTAACTGTACACAGCTTTGTCTTTGTCCAGCCTGCGAATGGTTAAGGGCACAGGCATAAGATACGTTGACAACCAGGACAACCTCCATTCTTACACCGGGAAAAGAATCTTCAGCAGCTCAGGTCACAAACTTGCCCGATGAAGGATGCAAGGAGCATCAGACTTCTCCTTTGTCTTGAGTGAGTACTGAAGCATTCCCTCCCACCCCACTTCATGGCAGGGGCCCCACCTAGACTAAACACCCATCCTTATGCCAAACTCCCCAAATTCCTTGCTGGTAGAGAGAACCCTTGAAAGCTTTCTGTGTTCGAGCTAACCCGGGTCAATTAGGTTACCTCCTGAATGTTGCTTTGTAACATTCCATTCCATACATTTGTCAGGTGGGCTGTGCATCTTAAATTTAAAATAAAATAAATATGTTTACGTTGTTAAGTGTGTGTGTGTCACAGTGGGTTTCAAACTTTTTTTTTTTTTGACATCTGGAAATTCGCTATGTAAAGGAAATAAAGAACGCTAACAGTATAAAAGTGGGGCAGAGAATAAACATGCATTCCCCTGTCTTAAGGCCTGTATGAGGCCCTTTTGATACACAGTCAATTTTTGTGAATAGTGCATAAGTATATAAAAAGGAGATATATTCTTATTCTCTATTTATGCAAATTTATAAACATATAAAATCTACCTTGTTAATTATGTTACTTAGGGCGGCTTTTCTATCCTTACTTATTTTTTACCACCTGACCGGTTCTGCATGAGAGGTGAATTTACCATGTGTCCTGCTGATTCCTCCTTGAAACTGCTGTAGTTTTTTTCTTTATAAATTTAATGCTATGCAATTTGGTATATAGGTATTTATAAGTGTGAGATCTTAATTTTGTTATCTCATGCTTTATTGTTGTACAGTGCCTGTCTTTGTCTCATTTAATACTTTTTCCCTAATTAAGCTTTGTCTGAGATAAAATTTTGATATTGGCTTCATTTGCTTAATATACTTTCATCTCTCCTTTTATTTTCATTCTAAAAGCACTTTGCTTTCATTATCTTACATGTAGAGCATATGGTTGGGATTTGATTTGATATTCCATCTGAGAAAACTTTTCAACTAATTGGTAAATTTAATCTTTTTGTATTAATCGAAATGAAAGTTATGTTCTATTTTAGTCCACATATAATTTTTTGTTATACTTTTAGTTTATATTACTTGTTTAAATTTTTGTCACTCTATGGCATGTATACTCTTTAGTAGGCATGTTTTTGAATTTTGAATTTGGTCCAGTGGGTATCTTAATAACCTTATAACTATATTTTTAGATATTATTCAAAGCAATAAGCAGTGTATTTCCTCTTCCTCCTCTCCCATTCTCTAATCATATATTTTTTGTAGTGTTCACCTTATTTCTTTTCTCTCTCAACTTCTATTGGTTGTTTCATTGCTACATTGTCAGGATTTATAATTTACTCTCTGTTCTATGACCATAATTGTCACACTTATTTAATTTATTTTCTTTAAGGGTGGAATTTAATCTTTATTTACAGGACACTGCAAGAGAGGAGATCCCACAGAGAAATAAAAAACCCACTGAGAGGAGGAGCTTCATACAGTTTGTACAGTTTGGAACTGGTCAAGTAGAGTTTTGTTGTAAAAAGTGCTATAATAACAGAACACATTTAAAAAGAGTTCTTAGTAGAGAAACAGTAGGACAAACTTCTACCAGAGCACACCACAAACAACTTTCTGCCTCAGCTGTATAAGCTAAAAGTTAAAGGTCCCACCAGTGCCATCCTGAACCTGGAACATATGTCACACTTATTTTAGATTTAATTCTACAGTTAAATGGATTTAATGATCATGGTCAGTTGTTTTTTTTGTGTGTTTTTTTGTTTGTTTGTTTGGGGTTTTTTTGGTTCTAAATTCATCTCTTGTTTGGCTGAAGCTCATTTTCTACTCTTGTCCTACAAAAGGGCTCATGACAGCCATATTGTTTGCATGTTAAAAAATGTTGTATATTACATTTGTATTCAAATAAACTTCTCTGGGGTGCTCAGGTTGCTCAGTCGGTTAAGGGTCCAGCTCTTGATTTTGACCATATGTTTGGTTAAAATTTTCTTTTGCTTAATGGCAAGGTTTTTTAAAAAATTTTTATTTACTTTTTAAAATATTATTTATTTGAGAGAGAGAGAGTAAGAGAGAGCATGAAAGGGTGGAGGGTCAGAGAGGAAAGCAGACTCAGACTCCCTACTAAGCGGGAAGTCTGATGTGGGACTCAGTCCTGTGACTCTGGGATCTTGACCTGAGCCAAACAAAGTCGCTTAATCAACTGAGCCACCCAGGAGCCCAATGGCAAGGTTTTTAAATGAAAATTTTAATTTGGCATTTTTTTTTTCCTGTTCCCTCCTTTTTTTCTTATGGTATCTTTGCATCCCTGTTCCTTTTTGATTGATTACTCATCTTTGAAGAAGAGGGTTTCCAAGTTTTCTAAGATACACTACATGCAGAACGTTTGTGCTGAGGAGTGGCCTGGACCATGTTCCAGCCTAAAAAAAACTTATGATACCAATGTTCTGCATGACTATCCTTTAAATTCTCCTTCTAAGAGACTGGCAGTTGCAGGACTGCTCAACTGCACCGTTTCCATCTTGCCTCACCAACAGAATGCTTCCCACATATACAGTATGTTTGAACATTCGTCTCTCAACTGTGCCTTACCTCCTTTTCTTTTATAATAAATCAGGTTGATTGGAGGCACTGCTGCCAACCCATATACTTGATCCCCTTGTTTCAAATGCGGGATTGTTGGTTTTGACGCTAAGGTAAGTCACTTCCTTGTGTGAAAGTGTGCTTTGTTGATGTTTTCTGATGACTTGTAGCCATCGACATTTTACCTGATTGGTTAAGCTCGGTCATATGCTCACTCTTAAAGAGGCAGAATTCAGTTCTTGAATCATATGGACTAAACATGGTGAAAGGGTACTTTTCCAAATAAAATCACTATGCTGATTTTGAAAAGGTATAATGGATGCTGAACATGAAAAAGAGAGAGAGAGGGAGGGAGAAAGAGGATATTTAATCACTTGTTGCATTAAACAGATTCATCCTTTGAAATGTTTCCCCTTTTCTGTATTTATTACAGTATAGGCACTCATTATCTCATAGTAGCTTCCTATCTAATCTTGCCTCCCATTCCCCCTTGAGTATATTCTAGGCATTGCCACCAAATTACTCTTCTTAAACAACTGTTTTCTTTTCTTTTTTTTTTTTAAGATTTTATTTATTTATTTGACAGAGAGAGAGAGAGATCACAAGCAGGCGGGCAGAGAGGGGAAGCAGGCTCCCTGCTGAGCAGAGAGCACGATGTGGGGCTCAATCCCAGGACCCTGAGATCATGACCTGAGCCAAAGGCAGAGGCTCAACCCTCTGAGCCACCCAGGCGCCCTTAAACCACTGTTTTCATTTCAACCTTGAACCCAAAATCTTTTAGGAACTCTCTTCTGACTCCCAGAAGCCACATTTCTCAGTTTGGCGTTTATAATCTCCCAGGGTCTGGCTGCCACATATCTTCGCATATCTTTCCAGGCACTATCTACCTGTTCTTGTCCCATGTGCCACTAATCTGCAGGGCTCCCCATCACTGAAGCCATTGTGTATTTTCGTTATAATGCCTTTGTTCTATTTGTACTATTTGTTCTATTTTTTGCTCTATTTGTTCTATCCCATCACCACTTCTCCCCTCCTATGTCTGACCTCAGATGGTGAGCCAGAGACTGCTAGTTATCTCTAACATGTATTTTCTTTAGTATTAGAACTACTGATTTGTAGCTGAGTACATGGCTACTCAATAGAAATGACATGTTTCAGCGCTACTTATAGTTAATTTCTGACCAATAAGGGGTTAGTGTAGTGATGTATACAAGTTCTGCAGTTTTTGGTTTTTTTTTTTAAGATTTATTCATTTATTTTAGAGAGTCAGAGAGAAAGAGTGATTGGGGGGAGGGCAGTGGGGAGAGAATTTCAAGCAGACTCCTTGCTGAGTGTGGAGTCTGTTTCAGGGCTTAATCACAAGACTGATGAGATCATGACCTGAGCTTCAACCAAGAGTCAGACGCTTAACCAACTGAGCTACCCAGGTGCCCCTGCAAGTTTTCTTAAATAAGAGGGGTGTGTCCTTTTCTGCCACTATCTCTTTTCTGCTGGCTGGAAATAAGGATGTGATGGCTGAAGCTTCAGCAGCCATTTTGGATCATAAGGTAGAAACTGCATGTTCAGGATAATAAAGCCACATGATAAAGAGAGCTTATGTGTTTATCAGAGAGCCACTGTAACAACCCTGAACTGTCTATACTTACATAAGAGAAATCATTTTATTTTGTGTAAGCTACTGCTATTTTGAGTTTTTAACTGGTACAGAAGCCAACCCCTCTATTAAAATACATTGTTCAGGATAATTTTCTGGTGGCCGATGATAGCAATCCATTAAAAATCTAAGCAAAATGGGAGGATTCTTTTAAGAATACAAGGATTTGTCACAGAACCTATGGGTAGGAATGAAGGAAGCTTCAGGGATATATCGGAACCTGGGACTGTGGGAAAGCCTTGAAGTTCTCTCATGGTGTCTCACCTCTCCTTCTCTTCTCTCTTACTGTGGATTATTTATGTACCTGGCAGAGAGAAGCAATAAATAAGAATGTGTTTAATAGAGGACAATTTAGGTGTCTGTGAGATAATATGGATCTGAAGCCAATTATCAAACTTTTCCTTTATGTAAGTAGTTTGTTAAAGTGACTCTTTGAAGAGAAACATACTCTTTAGCGTCTAGGCTCTTGCATTAACCTTTTTCTCTCAGCCTTCGATTTTTTTGCGGTTTCCAACATCAGTAAAAGGACGTGAGATGCAGAGTTGTCCATAACTGATCTAATAAAAGACACTTCAGAGCAGTTCTGTTTTTGTATGAGAGCTGCAAAAGGAAAATTTTATGAGAATACAAACACTGGCTCAGAAATAATTATTTTGCTAGACAAGGAAATGATAGATATTTTTTGGCTTATATTTCCCCGCAACCATCTCCCCCACCCCTCCTCCTCTTCTTCTTCTTCTTCTTCTTCTTTTTTTTTTTTTTGCATTGTTATTATTTACTGTCTGGGTTCCTGCTTTTACCAAGTTTTTTGCCCTCGAGGGGCATTCATGACAGCTTATCAAAATGTTTTATAAGATATTTTATATTCTTGTCAGCTTATCAAAATGTTTTATAAGATATTTTATATATTTTACCTAGTATTTTGAGTTGCTTTTGGTGGGACAATCGGCCACTCTTTAGTCTATCATACTACTGGACATGAAGTCTAGTATGCTTTTTAGAGTTTTAACTTCATTTGTTTGCAAGATATTACCCCATATTCTGAAGGCCTAGGCCCTAAGTTTGGTAGCCCAGTTTCCCTATCTGTAAAGAGGAAGACTGACTACCCTTCTAAGTATGTCCAATTGTTCTCTGTAAAAGACTCATGAGATAATTAGTGTGAAGTCAGTTTGAAACTGGAAAGTACCCTGTAAATTTTCTGGACTTTATAAACAAAAGAGGAAAACAAACAATAAAAAATCATAACTAAGGATGAAAACCATAGAATGACTTGTTCAATTTAAAATTTCTAGATATTTGCAATCATCTTATTCATTTTCTGGCATCAGTTATGGATGGGAAAGTCTTAAGATTTCTTTAAAAAATACAATATTATTTACATGTTGTATTTGACACTAATTGTCTAAGTTATTTTTTAATGAAAGAGAAAGAAGGCACATTTAAGCATACCACAAAATCTGTCATCACGTTTTTAAAGTTTGTGAAGGGTCGGTCCCTTTAAAATATGGGTGAGCAATCTAACCTAAGATGCTTACAACACTTTATATACTTTGCGGGCTGAGATTCTGAGTGTCTCACACTTTGTAATGTATTTTGGTCTCTGTGCTGCAAGGACAATGAAATGTTATTATAGGTAACTACTCATATCACTCTTCTCATTCTCAAACTGTGCTCACAGGTTAAGAATGTGAGAGGAAACACCTTTAAGTACACCTTTAAGGGCCTCTTGGATGCTAGGTGATTTGTAAATGGATCAGCCTGAGACTCAGGCATGACATTACTGTTTACTATTTCCTGTAGACGGTCCATGTCTTAACTCCTACACTGAAGGGCCTATCCTCTAAACATTTATTTTTTTGAAGATTTTATTTATTTATTTGACAGAGAGAGAGCACAAGCAGGGAAAGTGGCAGGCAGAGGGAGAGGGAGAAGCAGGCTCCCTGCTGAGCAGAGAGCCAAATGTGGGGGCTTGATCCCAGGACTCCGGGATCACGACCTGAGCCAAAGGCTGACGCTTAACCGACTGAACCACCCAGGTGCCCATCTTCTAAACATTTATACCAAGACAGTACATTTGCATGTATGTCATTTACTTATCTGCATATATTGAGCCAGTCCTACTACGTGTGAGGTCTTATGCTTCTTCTCCAGAAGCTCATAGTTATTAGGAAAGGAGACAAAACTACAATTATCATTCTTTGTGATAAGTGCTAGAAAGAGACAAGGTCCTATGGGAGCACAGGCAAGAGCAACTGACCCGTATTGCGGTGCGATAGGGTTGGATGGCAAGCAACAGTGAAGGGTTCACAACAGAACTGATGCTTAGTCTGAATAATGAAGGATAAGCAGGAATTAGGTAAAGGAAAAGGAGGAGGGTCAGGACTTAAGAAAAAGGAGTAGCATATGTGAACATGACATGTATGAGAGAGTATGACAAGACTGGAGAACCCAGATAGTTTGGTGTATGCTGAATGTATTTACCCCACCTAGTTACTGTTATGCCTGTCTCCCTTGCTATGTTCCAGTTCTTGGGGTGGGATCGTGTATAATGGTTTCTTTGTTCCCATGTAGGCACAGAGATGGAGCACAGTAAATGATGACTAATGGTATTCATTCAGGACATGACACAAATGACAGGAGGTAAGGGAGAATAGTTAGGAGTCCATTAATGGAGGAAGGTTATTATCTAGTGACAGTGAATAGGAAATGGGATAGATTGAAGAATTACTTGGGAATGAGAATGGATAAGACTTGCTCTATTGGCAATGGGGTATGAAAGAGTAAATAATGACTTTCCAGGTTTCTGTTTGGATTATGGGTGGAAAGTCACAGTAATGTTATTAATAATAACAGCTGATATTCATTGGGCAGTCTGCATCAGGTAGTACACTGTTTTACATGTATTAGACCATTTAATCTCTCAATGACTCAGTGAGGTAGATATGCTTATTATCCCTACTTACCTTTGAGAAAATCGGGAAAATTAGAGGTCTACTTGCCCAAAATCACCCAGCTAGGGATAGTTGATTTCAGTCCCAGGAATTCTGATTCCTGTAGTCATACACATAATGTACTCTTCTTCACTGCCTCTAACAAATGTGATCAATATTTAGAATGATGGTCCTATTCAATGTTTGTCACATAAATTGCAGGTCTTTTACTAAACACAGGCACATACGGTGATCGCCTCTTTTTGATCCGATTTTGGGACCTCGATTCTGTATTTTTCACTTTTCCTACCTGGAGAAGTGGGGTGGACGTCTGATTAAAAAAGTTAACACAAAAGATGAAAGAAGGCGGGTACAGAAAGGACATTCTCGAATGCTCAAGCCGCTGCTGAAATGATGGAATCTGGTTCTATCAGGCTTCCTCTGCCCCCATTCCCAGGCGCGCGCACACGCGCGCAAACACACACACACACACACACACACACATACACACACACACACGTCGTAAGCTATATATGGACGCCAAGTTTCAGGTTGGTTCTAGCAGTCCTCAACTCACATCGAAGGTTCATTTTCCGACTCCTGGACAGTCCAACACGAAGTTAACTCGAGGCGGCCTGTAGAGCCCAGGGAAACACCTTCCGGCTAGGCGAGCGCTCGTTTCCAGGGCAACCGCCCGCGGAAGCACCTGGGGCACGCGCCCCGGCACCTGCGAAGAGACCCGCCTGACGCCAGGGGGCGCGGGAGTGCGTCGGCTCCACCCACCCCACGCCGGCCCCACCCCAGCCCCACGCCAGCCCCGCCCCCGGCCCGACCCCGGCTCCGCCTTCTCTCCATCGGGCCGGGCCGCTCCTGGCTCCCGGCCGCGCTCGCAGCGCAGGCGCAGTCCCGCGCTCCCTCGGCGGCTCCCAGCGCAGTGCGCCCACCGCGACTGAGTGTAGCGGCGTCGGCCGGCTGTCCTCTTCCTCTTCTTCCTGTTTTAGGGCGCGCTCCGTACAGCGCTGAGAGCGCCCCTGAGCGCGGACAGTGACCGCGGTGATTTCGTCAGGTGAGTGCAGCCGCGGGAGGGAGAGGCCCCAGGCGCGGAGCACCGCCCCCCTCGGCGCCCGCGCGCCCGCCTCCCTCCCGCGAGCCGGCCGGGAGGGGCAGCGGTGGCAGGTGCAGGTGCCGGCACAGCGCGCGGGGACCCGGCCCAGCAGCCCCCAACCCGGGAAGCGCGCTCTCCCGGCTCGGCACGCGGGCTTTAGGGCCCCCGGCGGGAGGGCTCCGCGCCTCGGGGTGTCTGGGGCCGCTGTGGCGTCGGGCGGCGGCTCCTCCCCCGCCCCCCGGACGCGGGCGCGTTACTCATTAACTGCGCGGTCCCGAGCGCCCGCGGCTGTGAACCCGAATCCCGGTTACCTGTCGGCGGGGCGCGCGCGGCTGGCTGCTGGGGGCCCGCGGCCGCGGGGTGGTGGTGGTGGGGGGTGGTTGTAAGAGAGTTCCCGAACAAGTGTGGAGTCCGGCGCTGCGCGGGACCTGGAGTGGAGCGAATCAGTAGACTTGGACCTGGAGTCTTAGTAAAGGACAAGCGAGGCTCCGGGCCGAGACGTAGAGGTCACACTTGGCAGGTTTCGGCGAAACTTGGGGGGCCAGAGCAAGCGCCGGGAGTCGCACCTTAGGCGGCAGCGCATTTCGGCCTGACTTTTGTTTCGGGGAATTGAGACGAGCTGCACCGACGTAATTGTAATTACACTGCCCTTCCAGCGTTGACAACTCTGCGACTGCCCGGGGACCAGCCAGCTCTAATGGACTCTAGAAGTGATGATGTTAGGTGGAATCTGCCCCACGTGAAGAGTTGCCAGTTGTTATGGGACTAAGAAAACAAATCTGTAATGGCTAAAGGGTAAGGTCTGCAAAATTAAGAATGCTGAGTTAATACTGATCCCTGAGAAGCAATTTAGTTTCGTCGAAATACAGCATATTCCGAGGCTACCTGTTCCACACTCTTGTGTTTCCCCCTCCAACTCCTTTCAGTGTGGGGAAAAAAGCCGTGTAATCTTTTGCCGTGGAATGATTACATAATTGGAGAAGACCGATAAGCGGATTAAAACAAAACTGTTCCATTGTAAATCGATTGAAAGACCCAGTTCTGTTCATTATCCTCATTATTTTGTTCCTTATTATTTTCACGGTTTCTTTAAAACAGTGAATGACAAATCAAGGAGAAAAGAGGCAGAATAGATTTGTAGACCGATCACAGTAAATATTTGATACTGTTAAATATTCCACCAGTTTTATGGGGCCTTGTTCTGTTAATATTTGTTATTTATTTACCAGTCCTGCGCATTTGGATGGAACTTTTCATGTTCCGACAGACACTGAATCCCAACTGTGGTTTATGTGATCTAATCCTAAAACCCTTGTGGAATTTAAAGAAGTTAAACAGTTCTACAATTTTACTACAATAGTGTATTTCTTACACTATATATATAAATATGTATATAATATATATACTTATACACACACACATATATGTAATATATTAGTCTGTACATTTATTAACCAAAGTGGATACTTTACTATAACTCCTCCTTATGTGTTTGGCAAACAATTCAACTGTGGTATTGAATACCTCACACCTTTTCCTAGGATGGATAGTTGCTATTTGGCCACTTGTGGGTTTTCTAATTAGATACACTTTTACTTTTTGAATTAGTATAGTTATGCATATGCTTCCTTTAATATTTTTTCCTTGAATTTTCTCTAAACCCTCAATTCCCCACAGCACATACACAGACATTCCACAAATAATTTTTACAGTGGAAGGTTTCTTAGAAATCTAGGTCCGGCCCAATCAATTCTTTATATGGTGGAGCAAAAACTTGGAGGTGACAGTTTGCATGTATTATTGTAGTTAGTGCACCTTTTATTTTCTTTTCTGAGCAGGACTGACTGAACCAATTAGTTACCTAGCAATATGAAAAATTATTAATCGGTTTTAAAGTTTTAGCTCTGTTACTTACTGTGCGTGTGACCTTGAGTAAATCGTTGAACCTCTCAGAGCTTATTTTCTCCATTTGTAAGCGGATAGAGTATTAGGTCAAACCACGTGACTGCCAGTTTTCAACTGTTTTTTAACATGGTTCAAACTAATATGAAAATCATAGTGGTGGGATGAGAATTAAATGAGATACTCCATTGGGGGAAAGGAACAAATACTAACTTGGTAACTGGTCTATACTTTGTTGCTCTAGGTACTTTGATTCTTTTGGTCCTCAGGACATGCTGGGATATAAGTGGTATTACCACAGCTATAGATCTGGAAATTGAGATTCAGAGAGGTAGAATACCTTGCCTCTGGTTACTTAGTTGTCAGTGATCATATAGATGATTAATGGCAGAGCCAAGCCAGGATTGAAAACTGAGTTGGCTGCCCAGAATGGAACTCCTCACATGCTTGCTCCCTCTATTCCTTTCTACATCTTCTGTAGAAGAACATTGTAATTAAAGGGTGACTGCAGAAGAAAGGTGTTATTGTCATCTGTATTTCTGGGTAAAAAGTATCCAGGTTTTCTGGTGACGGTGATACCACTACTACTACTCCTACTTTTGAGCTTATAGCTTACCACGTGGCAGGTTCTGCTCTAAGCACTATCCCAAGTCATATACTCTGACAGTGATTTCGGAGTTAGCTAATGCTTTATCCCATTTTATAGTTGAGAACATTAAGACACTGAAAGGTTATGTAGCTTGCTTTAAGATCGCACAGCAAATTAAGCAACATGACTAGATTAGAAAAGTCAGGCAGTTTGTTTTTAATGGCCTTGCTCTTCGCCACTGCACTCTACTGTTTCATGTGTAGGTTGTAATGCCGAATTGTTTTTAATTAAGCTTTTATGAGATACTTAATATAATAAGTAATTCTTTATGTGTCACCAGAGATTTTCAAATCAAATATTCATTGAGCATCTACTCTGCAAGTCACAGTGGGGGGGGGTGGTTGAAGGAAAGTATTCATGGAATCTGGAAGGCAGGCCTTACAATCATTCCCGTATCTTTTATAAGGCTCTCAAAATTTATTTATTTTTTAATTTTATTTATTTATTTTTAAAGATTTTATTTATTTATTTGACAGATCACAAGTAGGCAGAGAGGCAGGAAGAGACAGGGGTAAGCAGGCTCCTTGCTGAGCAGAGAGCCCAATGCGGGGCTCAATCCCAGGACCCTGAGATCATGACCTGAGCCGAAGGCAGAGGCTTAACCCACTGAGCCACCTAGGCGCCCCAAGGTTTTCAAAATTCAGAACATATATGTCACATATGTGTTGTAGTTTTAATGCATGCCAAATAAGACAAAGCGTTAGAATAGTTGGAGAGTGGGGAGGAAGGATGAGTCGTTGGTAGAGATACTGCGTGTTGAGGAAATGAGGGAAAACTTCCAGGATATTCTGAGGGAGTACGCTTTTTCAAGTGTAAAGCTTTGTCTTAGAGTTTTGGTTAAGGTGTAGTTCATTAAAGGACAGTAAATTGTTACTAAATTAATTACTTAAACACACTTGGGTATTTTAAAAATAAAATATCTGAGCTTTTGAAAACTCCTTGCTAGCTAATTCCTCCCTTTCTCTACTGTTCTCCCTAGATTTGCCAGCTAGTAGTTGTGTGTGCGTGTGTGCGCATGTGTGTTTTCTCTTTTATGCTTCCAGAGTACTGAGTACATGCCTCTCTTTTGGTATTCATTAGTTTTGGTATTCATATTGCCTTGTAAATCTTCACAGTGTGTTCTCTTCCTCTAATGTACATGTGCTTTGAAGGCAGGGCATAAGTCATCCTACTCCCCATTTTATAGCTTTAGCACTGGGCCTGGAACCCATAGGTACTGGGCTGTGTAGTGATGGGTGTCAGTGGAAGAATATTACGATATATTGAAATTGATCTAGCAGCAGTAATGGAAGTGTGTTCTTAGTAAGAGCTGTGGGGACTAAGGGAAGAAAGGGAAGGATATACTTCCAGCAGCTAGCATTAACTTGCTATCTTTGTTTTTCTCTTCTGCTTTCCCTTTCAACTTACAACTAAATGAGGTAGTTTCATAAGCTTAAATTCTACCTAGTCATGGTTAGAAAAAAGTGAAAAAGTAATCTTGATTTATCTTAGAATATTGGCAGCAGAAAATGAGATAGCTGTAGCCATTAGCTGAGATTACTTAGATCAGAGGAAGAGAATGGAAAATTTTGAAGTCGTTCAAGTTTGTGGGGATTTGTTTCTTGTTCTTAAGAACAGGGTTGTAGGGCTCCTGGGTGGCTCAGTGGGTTAAGGCTCTGCCTTCGGTTCAGGTCATGATCCCAGGGTCCTGGGATCGAGCCCCGCATCGGGCTCCCTGCTCCGCAGGGAGCCTGCTTCCTCCTCTCTCTCTGCCTGCCTCTCTGCCTACTTGTGATCTCTGTCTGTCAAATAAATAAATAAAATATTAAAAAAAAAAAGAACAGGGTTGTAAACATAATTATAACGGAAGTTGATAGAATTCTACGTATATGGATTGACAATCTGGTATAAAGAAACTATGCAAGAATGAGATTACCTTAGAAGCTTAAAAGAACATATAGATGATAGCTTAGAATTAATTAAATAAATGAATTGTAATATGATGGGTTTGGATAATGTTATTAAAGTATTTGTTGGGAGCACCTAGGTTGACAGATCAGGATCAAATATAAAAAAATCATCCAAAATAAGTCAAAGTGTATTAATTTCCTTTTAGGAAGAGAATTGTATTTGAACTTTATACCTCAGGAAAAAAAACAACAACAACCCTGTTTTCCCTTTTATATCAGACAAATAAGGATCCCTTCTGCTTATAAGACCCCTTAGATTTTCACTTTTGTGTATTCCTTAGATTTTTACAGATAGCACACGTTTGTGTTGTGCTTTGCAGTCTCCGCAACATTTTTACACGGACCGGTGAGCCATTTGATTTCGTCAGATACAGGCATGTGGGGTAATGCCACCCATTATAGACTCTGAAACTGAGGTCCAGAGAAATTAAGTGACCTGTGCAAGTTTGCACAGCTAGTTAATGACAAAATCTGAGTTAGAAGGAAGGTTTTCTAAAACTACTTTGATAAAATGCTCAGGATCCCCAAACATTTTAAAAACTCGGTTTCTCTAGTCTTGATATTCTCCCAAGGTGCTTACTGTTATATCTATATTTTTGAAACAAAGGTAGCCTGAAATCACTCTCTGTACTCTTTCTGCTTTGCTATTTATTCTCTCTCTAAAGACTCTTACTGTTTATTTAGCCAAAGAATATACACCTCAGTGCCTGTTGTGTGTCAACATATATTCTTATGCAAAATAAGGAGTCTTCCGCTATTAAGAAAACTATTGGAAAATGTTTTTTATATTTCTTTTCTAAGGATTTGTAGTTAAATACAGTATTAGTAAGCCAGTTGTTAAGTTCTGAGTATTTTCTGAAAATCCTTAAAGAATCTGCAATAACTAGCATCTCTAAAACACATTTGCATCCTGTAGAACTGGTAAATGCAACTTAATTTGTGCTCTGTTTTAGTAAGAGTGGAAAGATTGTGTAGCTTGATTGACCATCTGATTAATTTTTCCCTTCGGTTATTAATTAAATTTACGCTTACCAACACAGGACGCTTCTTAAAATACAAATGTGATCTTTTTTGTTAATATCAAAATGTTTAGTGAATGTTAGTGAAAAAAATGATTAATATTTTCCCCCTTATTTATATAGTATTTGAATAAATTTGAAAGCTAATTGTGGAGAATTTCAAATAAAATCAGTAGATGCAAAAACGTAGTGAACCTCAGAGTTCCTATCATTTAAGCCCAGGAGTCAGCAAGAAGGGTCAGTCCTGTTACATCTACTTCTCCCCTTCTTGTATTA